TTTATATATATATAAAAAAAAAAAAACGAATTATTACCAGTCTAATAAATCTGTTGACGATTAGAGCCAGCACTCTTGGTCAGCAGGCCGAGCCAATATCGAAGCAGTTCTCAGGACACAACAAACGCCATCTGAAAATTACAAAATCATATCTAATCAATACTGTCATTACCATGATTATGTAAACGATTTTAAAATTATAACATAATTATTGCAATAGCTGTGAAATCGTCAATCGGGGGAAACTTTCAATAACAAATAATCATAGAGGATACCACAAATATAAACGTAGTACTTTGCAAACAAAAAACTGATTAAAAAAAAAAAAAGTATATAAATGTAAATATATATATATGGATTGTATAAACTGATGTAAAACATATTGCAGCAATAAATGAAATACAAATCTACCTAATGGTTAAAATATGCAAAGCAAATCGATTAAAACGTATAAAGATGAACTCTAATTTAAGAAAAGTGAATAACAAAGATTATTTTATAAAAAGTTACAAAATCAAATTAATTTATACCACTGCCATTACCACCATGATTATATCAATAATTTAATAACGATATCATTATTACCACGATTTAATAATTACAATATAAAAAGACAAACTTTACTTTAAGAAAAGTCAGTAACAAATCATTTTTTTTTTTAAGAAATTAAAACGAATTACCCTTGTAATAAATCCGTTATCCATTAGAACCGATTGGCCTACGGGCAGAGTCATTATTGAAGCATTCCTCAGGATACAACCAACTCATTCTAAAAATTACAAAATCAAATTAATTAATACTGCCATAATATATAATATAATATAATATATTAAATTAAATATATTATATAAAAAATAAATATTCTTTTTTTTAACAAAAGAATTACCTGTGCAATAAATCTAAAACTATCAACAACAATCTCCAGCACAGTCATCAGAGCACAACGGATACCATCTGAAAATTATAAAATCGAATTAACTAAAACTGCCATCACCATAATATATCTACAATATATTATTACAGCTCGGTTATCCGGGCACAACAGATACAATCTAAAAATTGCCATTACCATAATATAATATAACAACAACATTATTATTATTATTATTATTATTATTATTACGATTGCTGTGAAATTGTCAATAAATTATTTCAATAAGAAACAATCATAAAGAGTCATCAATAATAAATGAAATACCTAATAATTATTCGAATTATAATTAAAGCGAGCAAATTTATTTCAAATAAAATAAGTAAAAATCGGTTACCCGTGCAATACAACCGATTATGAATTAGAGCCAGCACTCTTCGGGTCGGTTAGGGTTCGGTGTAAATTTGAATTGCCCTCGTAATAAAAAACTAAAACCATCAGCGATTTCCAGCGTATTCGTATGGGCACAACGGACGCGAGTCTANATCTGCTAGTTCATTATTAATATCCTAATTAAGATAAAGTATGTAGAATGAAAAAGGGATTATTAAAAAATATTATTTCTCATAAAAAAATAATGTTGATCCATACACTTTTCAATATGTCATAGCATTATAAAGTTAAAAATGTAAAAAATAAAATCAAGAATTTTCACACGAAAATAGCATTCAGTAGCCATTTTCACCACAAGTCCAGATGTCAATTTTTTTTTTTTTCATAATAAAATATATTACATTATCTTTAATTTAAGATATATATATAAAAGTGTCAGACTTTCCGGAACATTTTCAAAAGTCAAGATGAATAAGTTCTATTTTCTCTATACATTTTTATGTTTTGGACCCCTCTCAAATATAGAGAAATAGTCCGATTTAAAAAACAAGTAAATCAAATTAAAGAGGTATAAAAATATTATTTCTTATAAAAAAATTGTATTGATCCATAGATCTTTCAAAGATTTATAGCGTTATAAAGTTAAAAAAATAAAAAAACCAGCACAGGGGGGTCGCGGCACAGTGGTGACGTGGCATAGTTGGATCAAGTATAATGATATATGACAATGATTAAAATCACTATCAAAAAAAAAACGCTTTGATGCAAATCTTTAGATAGTGTTTAATTTTAAAAAATTGGTGGATTATTCCAAAAGCTTCATAAACTGCTAGTTCCTTATTAATATCCTGATTAAGATAAAGTATGTCGAATGAAAAAGAGATTATTAAAAAATAGTATTTCCCATAAAAAAATTATATTGATCAATACACTTTTCAATAAGTTATAGCATTATAAAGTTAAAAATGTAAAAAATAAAATTGAGAATTTTCACACAATAATAGCATTTGGTAGCCATTTTCACCGTGAAGACAAAATAAAGTCCGAAATTTTTTTTTTCCATGATAAAGTATATTACATTAGCTTTAATTTAAGATATATATAAAAGTGTCAGACTTTCCGGAACATTTTCAAAAGTCAAGATGAATAAGTTCTATTTTCTCTATACATTTTTATGTTTTGGACCCCTCTCAAATATAGAGAAATAGTCCGATTTAAAAAACAAGTAAATCAAATTAAAGAGGTATAAAAATATTATTTCTTATAAAAAAATTGTATTGATCCATAGATCTTTCAAAGATTTATAGCGTTATAAAGTTAAAAAAATAAAAAACCCAGCACAGGGGGGTCGCGGCACAGTGGTGACGTGGCATAGTTGGATCAAGTATAATGATATATGACAATGATTAAAATCACTATCAAAAAAAAAACGCTTTGATGCAAATCTTTAGATAGTGTTTAATTTTAAAAAATTGGTGGATTATTCCAAAAGCTTCATAAACTGCTAGTTCCTTATTAATATCCTGATTAAGATAAAGTATGTCGAATGAAAAAGAGATTATTAAAAAATATTATTTCTCATAAAAAAATTGTATTGATCAATACACTTTTCAATAAGTTATAGCATTATAAAGTAAAAATGTAAAAAATAAAATTGAGAATTTTCACACAATAATAGCATTTGGTAGCCATTTTCACCGTGAAGACAAAATAAAGTCCGAAATTTGTTTTCTACATAATAAAGTAAATTACATTAACTTTAATTTAATATATATAAAAAAGTGTCAGACTTCCTGGAACACTTTCAAAAGTTAAGTTGAAAAAGTTCTACTTTCTACATGCATTTTTTAGATTTGAACCCCTCTCAAATATAGAGAAATGGTCCGATTTAAAAAAACAGTATGTCGAATGAATGATGTATATAAATACTACTTCTCATGACAAATATGTATTGATCCATACATTTTTCAAATAGTTATAGCATAATAAAATTAAAAATGCAAAATACATAATCGAAAATTTTCACACAAAAATAGCATTTGATAGCCATTTTCATCATGAAGATAAAATAAAGTCCGAAATTTTTTTTTTTCATGATAAAGTATATTACATTATCTTTAATTTAAGATATATATAAAAGTGTCAGACCTTCCGGAATATTTTCAAAAATCAAGTTGAAAAAGTTAATTTTTTGTGAAAAAGTTGTCATTCTAAATCCTCCCCTGTGGGCAAGTAAATAGTCACATATAAAAAAAAAATATATCAAATGAAAGATAATGACATCATGCATCTATATAAAAAAAATTATATTGATTCGGTTATTTTTAAATAAGTTATAGCAATTTTAAGTAAAAAATATTGAAAAATAGAGATTTTTAAATTTGTAATTTTTTTGGAAGTTTCCCCCATTTACGGGGAACGAGGGAAAATATTTTAATTTTTGAGGGTAATGTCTTCGACTAAATACGATTTGTGATCTTTTGACGTATCGTTGAAAGAAATCCGTTCGGTGAGAG